TGGATCTAGGGCCCCCCCGCCCCGCTCTGTATGGCCTCATCTTAACTTATTACATCTGCAAGGACCCTATTGCAAATAAGGTCATCCTCACAGGTACCAGGGGTTAGGACTTCAGTATATCTGTTTGGGGACAAAATTCAACCCACAACACACAGCAAACTAGGTATCGGGAAAAATAAGGGGGAAACGGTTTATTAAATGTCAGTCTGAGCCCAGACAGGACCCAGACACTCATGAACACTAGATAACTATCCTAAGCGCTGAGCTTGCAAAATTAACCCAGCACTGCCAAACAGCCTTTGACAGGAATCCTGCCCAATACACCCCTCAGCTAAGCCTTTTCAAAGGTACTGCATGAAATTCAAGAAGAAAGTTGACAAAGAAAAACCCCAGGTAAAACCTCATGGGGTCTTTGTCCTGTTACTGCCTCCACCCTCACACACACTCGGTGATCTCAATCCGTGGGCGCCCACTGCCCTCTCCCCACACTCCCGGGCTGCCACCTGACAACACTTAATGGTTTTCCAAGTCAAATGGGCTTCACTCCTCAAGCTCCACTCAGACACTCCTAACCTTTCTGGAGGTCAAAGGCCTACTGAGGAGCCAGTCAAACCTGAGGTTAGAACCTCTGTTCAGTGGCTGTGGCCACCCATTCCTTTCTGCACTGAATCTAGAACTCATCAGCATGCCTTCATTTGTAAGAATCATGCAATTCTGACAAATTTCACAGATCCTTAAGGGTCCCTTTGGAAAGGGTGCACGGTCCGCCGTGCTGGGGTGAAGCCTTTCAGCAGGGCATCCCACACAGGCTGGAGAAGTCGCAGTCTGACAGGCAGCAGGCTGTGTGGGCTGCTCGGCGACACTCAGGAAGAGTCACCAATGTGACTCTGGGGGCTGCTGAGACTCAGTCTGTAACAACTGGAAATGGCTGCCACAGGCAAGTTGTCCTGAGAAACTGACCTTGGTGACACGCACTCGGCACTTCGGTACCTTTGGTCCAGGTGACACAAAGCAGGGCTGGGGACAGGCAGGCAGGCAGGCAGACAGACACACAGATGGTGCAGAATCTGCTGTCAGGATCATCCCACCCCACCGCAAAAGTGACATCACCTACACAGGGCTGCTGCTGCTGCTGTTATGAATCCCATAAAAAGCAACGCTATTTCTAACCTCCTGCACCATGGAAAATACACACACCGGCAAGCAACCCAGAATCTCTGAACGGTGGATTTTTACACCCTTGCCCTCACCCAAACCTCCCCCACAGAACTTGAACTGGCTTTTTAGCAGTCTGTGGTACTGTGTGAGGTATGGGCTGAGGAAGCTGCTAACAGGTTTGAATTTACAGCAAGATGCGAAGGTGTTTTTCAGACATGACTGTCGACTTGATAAGAAAATAATATCCAATAACAAAAGAACAGAATCTAAAAACTAGGCAGAGAACATCCCCAAGTTCTCAACCCAGTCAGAAACTGTAGAGGTAACAGTTTCCCTTCCGGCCTCTAAATGCAGTCTTCCTCCTCCAGCCTTCCTCTTGCTAGTTTTGTCTAATCCAACTTCTAAAACTCAGGCACACGGCCTTTCAGAGCCCTTCTATGTCTCTATTCTTCTCAATGCCACTCTTAACTTGAAAGTTGAAGCATGAGGGAAAGAAGTGGGCTAGAGCCCCTGACAGTAGCCCCTACTTCTCTGGCAGACCTGGAGGCAGGCAGGAGGGCCTGAAGTTACAGAGCCCAGAGGAGAAGCTAGACCCATTTAACAAGGACCCTCCTACCACCGCCAGCCTCTCAGGCAGACAGGATATGGAGTGCAGCCTCTGAATGGGCAAACCCTCATTCAAGTTAGAACCCCCAGGCAATTTGGTCATTTACACCAGGCTGTAATTGTTTCATCACATTTTCATGATTTAACCTATTTTATTTTGAGGTGCCAGAGAGAGCTTCATAGCTATCTCTGGTAGAGAGGTGCATTATGCAATGTACCCATGTAGGCAGCAGGAACACCCATTCCAAGGGAAAATTTCTCCCAGTACTGCTGATCCTCTCTGATTTTACCTTACGGGTTTAAATTTAACACAAAGACAGGAAGTTCAGGGTGACCGCGGTTACCTTCTTCATTGCTGAAAAATCTGCCCACTGGGACCGTGGATCTCACGCCTCTCTGGTCCCCACCTTCCACTCCAAGCCCCATAAAGAGCCCTTGAAGGAATTCAAGAGATGCCTGCCAGACCCCAGTCTGAGGCCCGTCCTCTTTGTGAGGAAAGGGGCAGAGCCTGGATAGGCCCCACAGCCCTGGTCAAGCACGACACCTTCTGGAATCCTTTTAAGAAGCCGCCTTAGTCCCGAAACAGAAAAGAGAAACGAGGGCCTCCACACTCTTCTCTCTGTGAGAGCTTGCGTCTGGGTGAAAAGCAGTAACTAACACTTTATGGAGCCCCTCTGCCGTGTTGAATGCTGAATTAGGCATCTTCCCCAAAATTCCACAAGATAAATGTTACCCACTTAAAGATAAGAAAAGCTGAGACTCAGGGAGGGTCAGTGGGGGGCCCAGGAGACCAACTGAAGCAGGCTGGGACAGGACGGCCATCTGTCTAACCGCAGCCAACTTCCTACCACCCTCACATGGGTAACGTGGCAGGGCGCAGCTTCACCTTAATCAGGATGTCAAAACTTAAAAACGAGTTTGATAACAACCTTAGCACGGGGGCCTAGCCCAATCTCAAAACCAAATCCACATAGTCCAGTGTCCTGCAGGACAGGCACATTCTGCAGTTCATGCAAAGCCCTATCCCCTGGGGCCTTCCCAGCCAGCTGCCCACGCCCACAGAGCGGCGAGGCCCTGGGCACCCTACAGCACTTAGTGATGTCTCAGTAAGAAACACAACTGATTAAGTAACGGAGCAACAACAGATGTCAGGACAGTCACCTTCAGAGGGGCAGGTCCTCAACATCCCGGATTTGCATTAGCAGCTGCTCTGCCACCCAGGAGGAGCAACACAGCCACAGGGATCATTTAAAAGCCACAGCAGGACAGCAGTCAAGACACAGCTTTCCATTACCAATTCTGAAAACAGTTAAACAGCCAGCAGGAAGAGCTAGATTAAATCAGGTATTTAGATAATTTGCAAGAATTATTTCTACTTTCGTTGAAATTTTGTAACTCAGGTTGCACAGTGCCGAGAGGCACAATCCAGCAGTGTGTTCAGTGACCTGGAAAAATTCTACTGGATGATAGTTTCAGTGTTGGGGATAGAGTGGGTGGGGACTGTACTTGAGATGATGAAAGAGAAGATAAAGTGCATGCCATACTTTGATCGTCCCTGGCAGGCCAAGTTGGTGCCCCCACCTTGAGCTGCTGCTGGGTGTGCCAAGTCATGGAAGAAAAGTGGTATCAGGGATTCACATTCTCCAAGTTGGAGAGGACACAGAGTCTTCACCCCTCCCCTCCACGCCAGGTTGATACTGTGAGCAGCCAGTGCGAACACTGGGCACGCAGGCTGAGAGCTCATTGTGAGCTGACTGCCCTCCGAAAGGGTCCATCGAATGTGTTCCACGTTTCCAGATACCAACAGTGAAGTCCACTCTGGAAAGAAATACTTGAACAGCATTCAACTCAGCAACACAGACGGGCTGTGCTTACCACAGAATTAGAATGTAGCTTGTTATGTAATGCATACTTTTTAGAGCCCACAATTTTAGGAAGGTTCCAAATGTGAAGCCCATTTAAAATGCAAGGGTCTGCGTGCTGTGGTGAAGAAGCACATTAGATCTCTCCTGATTCTCCAGTCCCTCACCTAATTCCATAGCAATCATAAATAAAAGGGCCTGGAGATACGCTGAGAGAGCCTTCCATGCTCCTCTTCAATGCATTTCATTTGAAGGAAGTACCAGGCACTACTCTAGGCCTTGGAAGGAAGAAACATACAAAGAAAACAAACCCTTGCCCTTATAAAAATTACATTCTAGTAAGGGATTTGTCATCAGCAATGACTCATACTTGGCAATATGTAAAGACACATTAAAAATTTAGAAAAATGTAACACCTTCCATTCTACAGAACGTCTTACTTTTCTGAAGACTTACACATATTTCACTTGATGTCCTGCCAGTCAGGCAGAATAGCAATCATAAAACAAACAGAGGCACAGAGAGGAGAAGAGCTTGGGGACAGAGGAGCGAGGTGGGTGCAGCTGCTCCTGGTGCTCTCTCCAGCCCCTCCATGGCACCAGCTGCCATTTTCACTGACTGCCTGCCCACAGGGCCAGGCTTGGCTCTGAATTGGGCTTTGGGCCCCACCCACTACACCCACCCCTCCAAAGAGGAAGAACACACACACAGGCTTACAAATGTAACACCAAACGGAGCAAATTAGGAGGCCACCCCCATTTCACAGCACAGACCAATGTGCCACTGAGGGGAGTAAGGCAAGCCTGCCCACAGTACACTCCAATAGCTGAGGGAGAAACAAGCACAGGCGTGCATCAAGGGTGAGCCTGGTGGCTGTGGCGAGCGTGGCTGCAAGCGTGGTGGAGAGTGTGGTGGCAAGCGTGGCAGCTCACTCACTCCTCCAGGGGCCCCATCATTACCCCCACATTCCAGAACTAGGAGGCCAAGCCAAACAAAGAATTCAGAATGATAAATAAAGGATCCCATTGCTCACTGATCTTAAATGTTTTTAAGTATCAGCACTAAATGCCCAGGCTAAGCAATAAATACAAGTTAAATAAAAAGATTGTTTTTCCTCAAGTATTTTAGTACATATAAACATATGACTTTATATACATTCACAACCCACTGTGAATGTACTCATGTATAAAGTCACACTCAGTCTGATACCATGCAGCTTTCCTCCCATCAGGAAAAGCTGAGGTAGAGAGACAGTTTCTGCACCTAGAATTTGGTACAACTTTCTTCAGAGGAAAGCCATCAGGATGGCTAGTGCTATGACAAAATTTAAAAATTCACAAAAATTATCACAGAGGAGTCTTAAATTCTACTCACCTTTTAAGCTGTACGAAGACTGATGTTGGTTCTTGAAAACAGCCCAACCAGGAGATAGAAATTTGAGGCGATAAATGTAGACCTTCAACTAATAGAACAAAAAATAAAGGATTTCAGTGAACACTTCCTGGTTTCTTTTAGTGAATCACCCCCTACTTAGCCCCCAAATTCCAAAAAATTCTAGAGGGCTGTCACAATAAAAGGTACAGATATAAAAATGAATAAAATAAGAACACCAAGATAAGCATCAAGAAATGAAGGAAGAAGTATAGCAAAACATCTGGGTTAAGAGATGTGATCTAATTAGGAACAAAATTTTGCTCTGAACTTGATAGCAGCCACAAAAAAACGGAAAACAAGAGCTATATTCTCATCCTCCACTGAAAGGAAGCACCCTGTTCATCCCAGGCCAGGGGCCTCTTTACTGTGAGCCAGAGAGGATGTCCCTGCACAGGTCTTCCTACAGCACCACGGACAACAGGCAGTGAACTCAATCGGTTTTCTTTTATTTTTAATTCATAGACCTCCTAAATGCGGCTGTGAAAAGACTGTTTTCTTTCTTAGCATACAGATATGTTGAGGCCACATGAGGCACCAATCCTTAATTTTAAAGACAGGCAGGGGCAGCTGTACCTTTTCCTGTCTGAGATGTATGTACCTCACGTTTTGTGGAAGCCACACTGGCCCTGCGTTCAAACAGATCCAGCCAGGGTGCTGAGTTCTGTGACTATCTACAGGCCGTTTTCCCCCTTGCCCTCCGCCCTCACTGGGAGCAAGTCCTCGCATGCTGCCCTGGCTTTGTCTGGCTCCAGTCCACACACGCTGACCCCAGCCTGGGGGTGTACACCCACATGTCCCACGGGCGCCCCTCAGGTGAGCCCACAGACCTCCTGGAGGAGGCAGTGCTGTGTAAACTCAGGCAAGCTTTGCCTCAGATGCTGCCAGCACCACCCCGCACCCAGCCTGCCAGAGTGCAACATGGCACTCCTGTTCAAGGTTGACTAAGCCTCCATCGGTCCAGCCTTCGTGCACAGTGCACTCTACAGGAGACTTATCCCTCAAGTGTATTCCTGCCAAATGTCCCTCCTGAGTGATCCGCCAGCGCTAAGACATGGCTGCATGTGGCTTGAGGGCTCTCTGTGAGCCCCCACCATTCACCCTGAAAACAGCAGCCAAACACCTCGCTGATTTGTGTAACTCCTTCTCACTAATATTGTGAACCGCTGCAGACTCCCTTTCTCTTCCTGTTTCCTACCCGCTGGGAGAAGAAAGGAGCCCTGCTGGCGCAGTGGTTAAGAGCTCAGCTGCTAACCAAAAGGTCAGCAGTTCGAATCCACCAGCTCTCCTTGTAAACCCTATGGGGCAGTTCTACTCTGCCCTACAGGGTCACTGTGAGTTAGAATCGCCTCGACGGCAACGGGTTTAGTTTTGGTTTTTTAAGAGAAGAAACAATCCACTTTTGATTTTCAAGATCACAGTTTTTGTTCCTCAACTGGGGCCGCTCTAGTCAGTCTTCCTAGGATTCAAATGCTCTGATATATTGGGAATCACTAGAAATTATTGTGGAAGGCAGAATTCTAAGACGGCTCCTGCTATGGATTGAATTGTGTCCCCCAAAAATGTGTATCAATTTGGCTAGGCCATGATTCCCAGTATTGTGTGATTGTCCACCATTCTGTGATTTTCTTATGTGTTGTAAATCCTACCTCTAAGATGTTAATGAGATGGAATTATTGGCAGTTATGTTAATCAGGCAGGACTCAATCTATATGATTAGATTGTGTCTTAAACCAATCTCTTTTGAGATATAAAAGAGAGAAGCAAGCAGAGAGACATGGGGACCCCATACCACCAAGAAACCAGTGCTGGGAACAGAGCGCGTCCTTTGGAAGCTCTTAGACCAAGGAAAGATTCATGACAAGGACCTTCCTAGAGCTGACAGAGAGAAAGCCTTCCCCCTGGAGCTGACAGCCTGAATTTGGACTTCTAGACGACTAGGCTGTGAGAGAAAAAACTTCTGTTTGTTGAAGCCATCCACTGGTGGTATTTCTGTTATAGCAGCACAAGATTACTAAAACAGCTCCCAGACAGTCATGCCTTTGTGTGGCCCCTCCTCTGAGTGCAGGCAGGACCTGTAACTTGCTTCTGACCAAAACACTATGGCAGAGGTGAGGGCATGTCACCCCCTGATTAGGATACCTCATATAAGACTCCATCTCCTCAGACTGCAGAGTGAGAGTCCTTGTGACTATGGAGAGGTGGGCAGCTGTGCTGTGAGAGGGCCTGGGAGGGGCTGCATGGTGGGACTCCCGTGGGACTCCCGTGAGCAGCCTCTAGAAGCTGACAGCAGTCTCTGCCTGACAACCAACAAGGAAGCTGGGACTTAAGTCCTACAACCACAAAGAAATGAATTCTGCCAACAAGCTTGGAGGTGGATTCTTCCCAGTCAGGCCTCCAGATAAAAGAGGATCATGGCCAGCACCTTGACTGCAGCCCATGGGACTCAGAGCAGATAACCCGGCTAAGCTGTGCCAGACTGCTGACCATGGAAACTGTGAGATCATAGATGTGTGATGCTTTAAGCCACTAAATTTATGGTAATTTGTTACGCAGCAATAGAAAAGTAATAAAATTAGTTTAGCAATTAGCTAAATATAGGAATATATAAAATACATATGTATATATTAAATGCACACGTAACTACACATCAGAAACAGCCCTCCCTGCCTGCCTCCTCCATTCAAAAGTGAAAATTCATTTCCCCTAGTGAGTGCCCATCACCACCTTCCTGGCATCCCCAAGAGCTTGCAGAGCTTGGGTGCATGGCAGGCCCTTCACATTTTAAAAAAATGTACCATTAAAATTAAAGGAATTACGATTTGTTAATGTCTAGTTCTTACAATAAGGCCAGAGCAAGTGAATTTGTTCAAACCTTCAAACCAGAGCTCAGAGACTCAAAATTAATTTCAAAAGAGGTGGAAGATATTTAGCTCCATGCTCTCCCCACAAATGATGAATACATAATTTCTCCACTACTCTTTCTTTCATTCTGCCTGTGAATGTGAATCAGTGCTTAGAAATGCTGCTCAGTAGTTACTGCTTTTGCCAAATACCCTTGCCACTTCTCTGGCATTTAGCTATCTGATGGCTGAAGGTTTAAAACAAAAAAAATCCCTAATTTCCAAAGAAAGAATTTGTGGCTCATTCTTAACTTTCCATTCATATCAATAAAACTTTTATTCCCAACCAAAATGAACAAATCTATTTAGGTCAAATGACCCAGCTCTATTGAAACAAAATGTTGATCCAACTTTCTGACAAGCTATGTCAAAAGTTCTTTAAGACTTTTTATTTTAAAACTGATGATTTTTAAACAATTTAACGAAGATTTTATTTAAGCTTTGTTTAAAATGGAGCCCTGGTGGAGCAGTGGTTAAGAGCTACAGCTGCTAACCAAGCAGTTCGAATCTACCAGCTGCTTCTTGGAAACCCTATGGGGCAGTTCTACTCTGTAGAACTCTACTCTGTAGCTATGAGTTAGAATTGACTCGACGGCAACGGGTTTGGTTTTGGTTTATGTTTAAAATAAAATTTGAATGCATAAATACATTTAGTTTTTGCTACACTTGAGAGAAAAATTGTTTTTATTACAAAGAAGACTATGGCTAAATTATGTCTATTTTGAAAGGACTGGTTTTAATAAAAAGGGATATTTTAAAACATTCTAATCAGTTAAATTACATAAAGGAGTACCGAATAAAAACTTCATTTCACTACCTGTCATGCTCCCTGGAAATCTATATTCAGGAATTTACTATACACCCCCACTCCCTCATAGATAACTCAGAAAACCTGAACATTGCCTCCAAGGTTTACCTCCTCGTGCTCAGCCTCTTGGGCAGCAAGATTCACACATCCAAGCCAAGAAAAACCATAAACACCAGTTTCATGACAGACGAGGCAGAAAGTTTGACAAACTTACCTCCCTGTATAACGTTAGCTCTCTTTGGCCAGTATCTACCTGTGAAAATAGCCAATGACCCACAGCTTTACGGTGATGTTGGGGCTGGAGGGAGCAGGAGTCAAAGATCCATCCCTCTCTGTGCTGAGCCGCTCAAGGTCACTCAGCACATCTGGGGCACAGCAGAGCTCCTACCCCACCAGCTTCTTCCTCCCTTAGCTCTAGTCAGGGCATCTCTTCGCCAAAATCTCACAAACAGAAGCCAACACAAAGTCCAAACCTTCAAAGAAAGGAGACTGAGCGTTACTATCACGGCTCCGCAAAGGAAATCAGCCTTGGGAAGAATGGATTACTCACTAAAGAGAAAGACCAAGCACAGAGCCTCATGGAAAGGACTGGCCGACCCTCGTATATTGCCTCCGCTGCCTACGTGGCTGTCAGAGTGAGAAGTACGGTCCTTGTGGGTCTATGCCCTCTGCCTGATCATGGAGAGCACAGTCCACACCGCTCAGCAAGCACACCGCTGGCCACATCGGTCAGCCACAGTTCCGGAGAGGTCAGGCACTGCTGGACTGGTGAGGGAAAACGAGGCAAGTACATTCTTAAAGCGTCACCACGTTCTCTCTCTCTCTAAGATAAAGGAAAAGATTTGTTCCAGACAAAGATTAAGTGGAAAACCTGGCCCATGCTCCCTTCCCATCTCTGCAATAGGAATTGCTCCAGCTGAGCCGCTTGAGTCCTGTGAATTGCAGCCATTTAAAACACACAAGCACCTGGACATAACAGGAAGGAGGCATTTCATGGAATTCATAACTGGCACAGGGAAAACGTAAAGCAGTATGTAATGTACTGCAGCATTATAGAAAGAGACTGAGGAAAAGACAGAGAAGACAGAAAACCAAACCAAACCCATTGCCATCGAGTCCATTCTGACTCATAGCCAACCCTACAGGGCACAGGAGAACTGCCTCAAAGGGTTTCTAAGGAGTGGCTGGTGGATTCAAACTGGTGACCTTTTGGTTAGCAGTTTAACCAGCGCTTAACCACTGTGCCACCGGGGCTCCAGAGAAGTACTTCCCAAGACAGCATTTGCTTTATTTCATTTTTCAGACATCTTGAAGTTATAC